AAGGATGGGAGTTTGCGGTTAGAGAGAGTGGGATGTTGAAGGTAAGAGTGGTTGCATATTCCTTCTCCAAAATGCTTGGGAGCAGAAGTGTTTCAGATTTCAGATGTTTTCAGATTTTGGAATATTTGTATTTACAGATTCAGCATACCTAATGTGAAAACCTGAAATCCAAAATGCTCCCAGTGTTCATTTCCTTTGAGCATCACATTGGTGCTCAAAAGGTTTTGGATTTTAGAGCATTTCAAATTTCAGATGTTCCGATTAGGGATACTAAGCCTATATCTCAGAAAATGGTACATTTCTGAATAATGTCAAAGTCCAAGATACAGCCATGAGAATGGTCATTAATGTGGGTAGAGATGGGGATGACTGTACATCAAAAGATTAAAGCAATAGGACGGGCTTCGGTGTTGCTAGGGTCCTTCATGGGAATGTGTCGATGTCATCCAGGGTTATGGGAGGCTTCCGAGTGGGGAGGAAGCTGAGACCCCATGGTCACAGTCTTCACTGATAAAGGGAGAGAGCAGGAGGTTGGCGGATGGTGGGCACTGACTAGACTGGCAGAGCCAAGAACTTCAGTGGAGCAGGGTTTTACCCAAGACAGAGAAGTTGTGGTCTAGAGCCACCCAGGGATGAAGGAGCACCCATCAGAGAGGACTGTGGGGGAAACAGAGTCCTGGGAGAAGAGGCAAGCATCAGTTGAGGCCATAACAGTTAAAATGTATACATCAAATCCTCTCCAAGCGCACTGTACCCTTGGCAGAGAATTCCCTCCTTAGTCTATTTCCCATCCCGAATTCTACCCATCCACGTTGTGTTAGGCCAGGTCACTCTAGTAGCTGAACAGGCAGGCCTCCATAACAACTGTTTCAGCACTGACTGAGTGGTTAAGTTAAATATTAAAAGTTGAAGGAGCCAGTGCCCTCATACAAAGGCTGGAATAGAACAAAAGCCCACCACAAGTTTTGCCTAAGCCTCTCCTGTGCTTGAACCATGACAAGATGAGGAAGGAATTCTTAATTTAGGATTAAGTAAGTTTTTATTGGCTGGGCACTTTGGGAGGCTGAGGTAGGCAGATCACTTGAGCTCAGGAGTTCAAGACCAGCCTGGCCAACATGGTGAAACCCCATCTCTACTAAAATACAAAAATGAGACAAGTGTGGTGGTGGGTGCCTGTAGTCCCAGCTATTCGGGAGGCTGCGGCAGGAGAGTCACGTGAACCCAGGAAGTGGAGGTTGCAGTGAGCTGGGATTGAGCCAGTGCACTCCAGCCCGGGTGACACAGCGAGACTCCGTCTCAAAAAATAAAAATAAAAATAAAGTTTTTATTGGGGTTCTGAAGAAACTCCTCAGGCCTCCACAGACAAGTTTTTTTAGAAGTCTAACCTTTGTGATTTAGCAGAAGACAAGATAATGGTAATCACCCCAGGACCTGGAGCCATCTAGATTCAATAAATTTACTGAGCGTCCAGAAAAAGGCCTTCAGAACTCAGACCTTAGTTATAGATTAGAAGAAGTTAATCATATATGTCTTTGGATGAATGCACACTTACATGTAGACATGTAGCTTAGAAGGTATATGAGCTCTGGAAAACTTTGTAATTTTGAGTTGGTCTGGTGATATTTGCCAGGTCTTCCTCCTGTACCTGGTTACAAAAACAAACTTCCTTCCTTCCCAGTTCATCTGCATCCTGTTACTGGGCCATGAGAATAAGCAGCTGACCCTCGGTTTGGTCCAGGAACAGCATGGTCTGATAGAGTTCATCATGTATTCCACAGGGAGATTAAGTGACAAATTCAGATACCCCAGTAATAAAATGCCCACAATAAGATGTCCTACAGCGTAATAGAAACAATGTTTTATTATGAAATTCCCAGTAGGAAATGAAAGTTTAAAGACTAAATTCACTTGGCATTTCAAGATAAAAAGAAAATTTCAAGTTCAAACGTTTTTCCTGCCTCAATTTCATATTCTGCTCAGGCTCAGCCAGAAGATGTCTCAGTATTTAGACACAGTAGGGGTTCCTTCGGCATCATGCTGGAGCGGTGTAACATTCTCCGGGTGGGGAAGGTGAGCTCGGCTCTCACACGCCATCTATTTAAAGAGTCCAGAATTAATAGGGCATCAAAGCTTATCACAATTCTGTCTCCACATCCACCAAATTTAGAAACCAAATCTGGTAACAAAGTCATTTATCAGAGACTCAGTGGTACCCAAATGAGGAAAGACCACTGGAAACGATCTTGGTTTTGGCTTCTCCAAACACCTGTCAGGCCAGGCTTGTGATAGTCAACTCTACTGGCTGGAATCTTCCGTCAAGAGCTAACTTTGGTGTTGCCCTTCTGCAACAGGACGATATGCCCTGTGCACTGTCTCTGTTCCCCAGAGCTGCCTCTGAGACTGTCCCGTGTTCTTTTACCTTGCAGCCATTGCAATGGTAGCAGTCCCAGAGTCAGTGTCATTGGAGGTATCTGTCTTTCCCTTCTAGCATATTCCAAAATCTCTTAATTCCCCATTTCTTCTTTGAGCCCCAGGCTTCTAGAACCTCCTTACTTCCTTAGGGGTGGGCTCAGCCTAGTGACATGACCTTTCCACACCTTACCACAATTCCTACCCCAAGTGCTCTGGCTTAGAATTGCTTGGGCAGGTTCTGTAAAACCTGCATTCAGAGAGGATTTCTTCTTCAGACTCATTTGCTGCCACTCAGAAAGTGCCTTGAGTGCATCCTGGAACAGCATTGCTCTGCCACTGGGGCAGCATGTGCTGCTGGGGTCTAAGGAGGTCGCCTACCTCTCCCACTTGCTCCTCAAGGCAGTCTTTCCTTAGCTCTGGGATGTTAGAAGCCTTAGGAGGCATTTCCCTCTCATGTGCTCTTTCTGCAGGGGAGGGGAAAGGTGAGACTGGACCTCCAAAGCTCTGCTTCCCTCTGCTGTTCTTTCTCCTTTCCGGAAGTTTCTAACAGTTGAACCCACTCCTTAATTTGGTCACTTTCCTCCTTTAACATATCTTCTGGCTCTTAGTGGCACTTTTCCTTTTATTTCTGCCTTTGCCTTTTGGTCCATACATTAATTTTTCTTACACCTTCCTGTAGATTTTATCCTGTGGGGTCTTCTATAGTAAGACAGATGAGAGTAGGGAGTTCTGGGTCTGCCCAGAGCATCTGTTGTCCAAGCAGGTCTCGTCCGCTTTTGCCAGCTGCACTTGATGGCCCTAACCAGAGTGGAGGGTCGTCAGAATGCCAGAAAGTAGTCTCCTGTGTTGATGGGGTCCTGTAAGACGCAGATGCCCAGACAAATGAAGAGGCAAGGATTTTATGATGGGAAATGCCTATGTGAAGGGAAATGGGGAGGAAGCCAGAGAAGGCAGGGAGACCACCAGACCGCAAGGTAGGTCTGACCCTGAGTGAAAGAGGGGAAAGCGGTGGGGTGGGAGCTCACTAGCCTGTTGCATTGTCTAAAGAAGGCTCAGCAAAGCCACTGGGGAGTTCTTGAGACAAACTTAGCAACACAAGAGTCCCCTGTACTCCCAGACACAATGGTGCACTCAGCCACTGAGAAGGAGCAGTGTGTGGGAGGCACAATTCAGGAAAAGCTCAGTGTTCAATTGCACAAAATTTGCAGAAAGGGACCTTCAGTCCGTGAAGCTCCCTCTAGTAGGAGGTCTGCGAGGTGGCGCCATGTCTGCCATTAGACCAACAGCTGACTCCGGTGTAGACTTTGTTTTTCCTTGTCCTTTCTCCATCCTTTAAGTTTTAGCCAATGGAACATGATTGTATTTGATGTTGCCCACTTCCCCGCCTGTCCTGGAAGAACCCATGTCCCAATCCCCATGCTTCCTTTTCTCCTGGCTGTGTGTGTGCTCAAGGCCACCTTGGATCCCGTATGTTAGAAGTGACAGAGGCTGCGTCCCTAAATCACGATGTGGAATGGAGCTCATTGCCCCTCCCTTTTCTGATAGGCTCTCTGAACTATTGATGAGCAAAAAGTAAACTTCCCTTGTGTTTGAGCTATTATACATTTTGGGTCTATTTGTTAGAGCAATGCATTTACCCTAACTACTGTACTATCCCCGGGCCTTGTATGATGACATTAGTAAGAGCCACAAAAACTGCATCTGGGACACAGGAGAAGGCGGGCGAGGGGAAAACATCATCTGATTGACATAGCTTCTGTTTATAGGTAACTTTTTAGGAGTGTGGAGTTAGGCAAAGCTGGGATCACTCACACAGCCTGACAGGGGATTTTTGTACATGAGTGGGCTCAGCTGGTCATTCTGGTTACATGTCCCACCAGCTTTCTGGTGTCTCTACCAGGAGTAAGGTACACAGCCCTCGTCCTGTGCCTTCTCTTTCTCCTCCAGGACCTCACGCCTCCAGACCCTCTACCTCTCTGTGTGACCTTAAACAAGCCTTTCCTCCTCTCTGGCCTCAGTATCCCCCTCTGAACAATGGAGCTGGGCCTGCTGACCTTCTGGCCCTTTTCTCTTCTGTGAGTTTGTGAAGTTGTGACAGGGAGAAAAGAGTCCTAGGAAATGGAAGGAGAGCACATTTCACTCTGTCCAGCAGAGGGCAGAAACTACCCACAAATCAACAGCTGGGCAAAGCCAAGGCTGTGTGGGAGCTGTGCAGAGGCTCTGCCAGCTTCTGAGCCAGAGGGTACCAAGCGGGACCTCAGAGAGATCCTCAGAGCCCCTCTCAGCTCTTATTAATGGCATCCAGATGCTCTATTCCTCTTCTGCAGAGACAAGGTGGGTCAGCCACTAAATGGTGCTCAGACCTTGCCAGCTTGGTGAGAAGGAAAAAGCTTATTCAAGCAAGGAAGATGAGACAGGCAAAAACCAATGCATAAGCCAAAATCCCCTCCGAAGTGTGGTGTTACTCCACGCCAAGTCTCCAGCAGGGTGGACCTCAGACTCCCTGTTAGGAACTGAATTGTGTCCCCCAAAAGGAGAAAGTCACCCCAGAGTATGACCTAATTCAGGAAAGGTCATTCCAGATGTGATTAATTAAATGAAGATGAGCTCATGCTGGAGTAGGGTGGACCCTGCACCCAGTAGGACAAGCGTCCTTGTAAGAAGAGGGAAATCTGGACACACGCAGAGCAGAGACGGAGGCAGAGACCAGAGATACGCTGCCACATGCCACAAATGCCTGGGGCTCCTGGAAACTAGACGGAGCTTCCCCCAGCGGCTTCAGCAGGAGCATGGCTTGGCCAACACTTTGATCTTGGCCCTCCAGACTCCAGAACTGTGAGGCAGCGAGTTTTGTGGTGTAGGACCCCTAGTTGTGGTTCTTTCTTATGGCAGCCCCAAGAAACCAATACCCTCCCCCACTCCACCTTCCACAGCAGAAGTTGGGCATCACTGAACTGAACCTCCGCAGCAAGTTTTGCTTGGACTGCACAGTGTTTATTGATGCTGCTGCTGGTTTTAATTTCTAATGTTTGTGTCTGTGTCTGGACCACTCCTCCCGATGACTCACCTGGCTCCTGCGGGCATCTGAGATGTGGTTCCTAGTCCACAGTTCCCTAGGGGAGCAGAGGAACTCCTCAGCCTCCTCTCAGACTCCTCTCAGGATGCGCTGTTCACTCCCTCCCCAGGCTTCCTCTCTACATGGGCAGCTCTGACCCAGAGAAGATTCTTTGTCTTAGACAAACATCTGCCTTCCTGTAACTTTGGTTTACCAGAACTTACCCTGCACTCCAGGGCCACATGGAACCCCTCTGCTCCCTCTGCCCTTAGCTACTGGCTCCTAGGAGATACTTGCTTGTCACCCCACCTCTTTAAACTGTCTAGTTCCAGCTCCCTCAGAAGTTCCTCACTGATGGTCAGAAGTTTCCTGATGGTCATGTTGCCTGGATGAGCTCCAGTCTGTTCAACCCCCTCTGTGATTGAGGAACCAGGACTAAACAGGACTCACCTGATGCACATTCTAACCAGAATCAAGAGGGCAGAAGCATTGCTTCCCAAGTTCCAAACTCAATATCTCAGTCGTAATCCCCATGTGTCAAGGGAGGGACCTGGTGGGTGATTGTATCATGGGGGCAGTTTGCCCCATGCTGTTCTCATGATAGTGAGTAAGTTCTCACAATAAAGAGTAAGTTCTCGAGCCGGGCGCGGTGGCTCAAGCCTGTAATCCCAGCACTTTGGGAGGCCGAGGCGGGTGGATCACGAGGTCGACAGATTGAGACCATCCTGGTCAACATGGTGAAACCCCGTCTCTACTAAAAATACAAAAAATTAGCTGGGCATGGTGGCGCGTGCCTGTAATCCCAGCTACTCGGGAGGCTGAGGCAGGAGAATTGTCTGAACCCAGGAGGCGGAGGTTGCGGTGAACCGAGATCGCGCCATTGCACTCCAGCCTGGGTAACAAGAGCAAAACTCCGTCTCAAAAAAAAAAAAAAAAAAAAAAAGAGTGAGTTCTCACGAGATCTGATAGCTTTATAAGGGGCTCCTCCCAATTTGTGCTCTGTGTCCTGCTTCCTTGTGAAGAAGGTACTTGCTTCTCCTTCACCTTCTGCCAAAGCAGGACCTTATGATTGTAAGATTCCTGAGGCCTCCACAGCCATGCAGAACTGTGAGTCAATGAATCCCCTTTCCTGTGTAAATGACCCAGTCTCAGGTTTTTCTTTATAGCAGTGTGAAAATTGACTAACAAAGATATTTGACAGCCATCCAGTAGTCTTTGATAAACACAACCACCATCTAGTGACCAGAACAGCCTTATCAGGCCCCACTGTCCCTGCAATGAAGAGCTGTTCCTTTCCTTATCCCTTACAGAGCCAAACACCCAGCATCCTGGAACAGTGGCCCCGTGTGCCCAGCTTTGAGAATGAGCTCATGCCTCGCTGCTGGGAGTAGAGAGAGGGAAGAGCTGAATCAATATGCATATGTATTAACCTTTTGTGCATTTAGAATCATGTCCTTAGGATAAATTCCAATCAGTGGCATTACTGAAACAAATTGTATCAAAAATACAAAAAAAAATTGACCCATTTTTCCAAATTGTTTTTTAACAAGGAAGCAATATTGTTTGCCTTTTGATATTGTTCTTTAGAAAACGATGCATGAGAGTTTTACGTTTCACATAACGAGATCTATTTATTTTATACTTTGCAATTTCTGTAATTTTTAAGACTGTTCCTCCCGTACTAGAGGTTCTGCTCTAACTATTCAATTCTGTTTGTCCTAGTTTTTCTAACACTCCCTTTTCCACTGGTGTGTGGTGCAAAATGAGGCACATTTTCCATGGATGATGAACAAAGGGAGGATCCTTTTGATCACAACCAGGTCACCCCACTTCTAAGCCACTGTGTCTCCAGCCCCACAAGACTAAGGAGAGAGGGCACAGAGTGGCAGAGAATGAGCCATGCTGGGACCACTGTTTCTGTAACCTCATTTTTTGTGTCTAGCTGACACATCTTCAAAGCAATGTCAGGTCCTAAACTGTAGCTTGCAACATGCCTGTTTGCTGGAAACCAAGGCGGAAGTGCTTTTAGACAGTGTTTCCATGTGAGAGTCCCTTCCCAGCTTTTCTCTGGAAATGCATGTTTTTCTGAACTCTGAGTCCCAAGAAAAATCATTTGAGACATCAAGAAAATGGGGGAAATGCTAAAATTGTGTGGGAATTCAAGCTTAACAATAAACATCAAGACATTTTTGGTAGAAAGGAATCCACTGATATCAGGGAGCAAGAGAATTGCATGCTGACACTGGGTCAGAGGCCACGGCCGACATTTCTGGGAATCGCTCCCAGAAGGGCACAGATGAAATGCTTTCAGCCTCTCATCAGCCAGTCAGGGCTGTAGCTGCTGCGCATCATGAGTGTGTTCCTGGCATGACTGCTTTTAACAGTGAGTTTTCTGGAAAATCAAATAAATATTAATAAGTCTATATGCACATTTTTCTTTATACAAATCCTAGGAATGATGTTACAGGAATAACACGTTTTGAAGGCAAAATAAGTCCTTAAATTGGCAACTTTGACACATAATTCCATGTAGTAGTTAATCTTGCTAGGAGATCCCAATGTTATATTATTCTAATGCAATCTGAAAAGGTTCACTGGCATTTTCCACTGTTGCCATCTTTACTATAGCCTATAGTTGTTTGTTTTTTTGAGACAGAGTCTCTCTCTGTTGCCCAGGTTGGAGTGCAGTGTGGCGATCTTGGCTCACTGCAATCTCCACCTCCTGGGTTCAAGTAATTCTCCTGCCTTAGCCTCCATAGAAGTTGAGATTATAGGCGCGGCTACCATGCCTGGCTAGTTTTTTTTTTGTATTTTTGCTAGAGACATGGTTTCATCATGTTGGCCAGGTTGGTCTTGAACTTCTGACCTCAGGTGATCTGCCTGCCTTGGCCTCCCAAAGTTCTGGGTTAACAGGCATGAGCCGCTGTGCCCAGCTGCCTATAGTTCTTTGTAAAGCAGACAAAAGAATTTCATTTTTTTAAAGAAATGAACATATATGAGGCAACCTGTACCTAATTTAGGATTTTAGAAATTCCCCTGACTGCCTATACATTTTGGTTTATCATTCCTAATTCCCAAATATTAAAATCTTTCAGGGATTTGAAAACAGTGAATCAGAGGCCAAAATAGGACCATGCCTCACTTCATTCATTCATTCACTCAACAATTATTTATTGAGTACCTCCTATTTTTCAGGCACTGTACCACATTTTGAGAATAGAGTAGTGAATAAGACAATGTCATCACCTTTAAGGAGTTTATGTTTTAGAGGAGAGAGACAAATAAAAGTGTTTAGGCTGGGCATGGTGGCTCACACCTATAATCCCATCACTTTAGAAGGTCAAGACAGGTGGATCCCCTGAGCCCAGGAGTTCAAGACCAGGCTGGACAACATGATGAAACTCCGTCTCTACCAAAAATATAAAAAATTAGCCAGGTGTGGTGGCACACACTTGTGGTCTCAGCTACTTGGGAGGCTGAAATGGAAGGATCTCTTGAGCCTGGGAGGCAGAGGTTGCAGTGAGCCGAGGTTGTGCCACTGGACTTCAAGCTGAGTGACAGAGTGAGACCTCATCTCAAAAAAGGAAAAAAAAAACTGTTTAATACAATGTACTGTCAAGTGGTGATGAGCCCTATGGAAACATGAAGCAATGTAAGCAATGTTTGAGTAGTGAGTGAAGTGGTACTGTTTTGTACATGATTATCATGAGGGCCCTTCAGAAGAGCAGAGAGCTGAATGCAGTGAGCACAGAACCTCAGGAACTGGGATACAAATCTAGAAATTATAAGCCTGTCCATGAAAGCCAGGGGAATGATGAAAATACTATGAGAAAAAGTGAAGAAAGGAAAGAGAAGAGGTCCAAGGAAGGAGACCTGGAACTACCCAACCTTCGATTCGATCAGGAAGAAGAGAAGAATCCAGCAGAACATGCTGATCGCTGGAAAGGAAGTCTTCCCTCCTTCCCCTGCACCAGGAGAGGAGCTATTCCGGAAATCAGTGAAGTGTTTGAGGGGGAGAGAGGGATCACCTTTGTCAACTGCTGTGAGACTTGGAAAAATAAGGACTGGGAAGAAAGCAATAGAAACTTTGAAAGCCATTGATTATCTTGACAAGAGTAGTTTCTGTGAGGGTGGTGAGAACTGGAGCGTGATTGGATGGGTTCAAGAGAGAATGGGGAGTTCTAGCCAAGAAGGCTGATGAGGATGAGTCAAATTAAAAATGTTTTCTTTTTATGAACCCTCTCATATTTACTGTTACAACGGATATATTGGATCTCCATTCTGCCACATTACTTTATATTAATGTGTATTATATCTTCTGTGTTTCTTTCTCCATGCAATGTATTTTTTTACTTTAAAAACTGTATTTATAAAGGTTTATAATTTTATTCCAGTGGTTATTTTATATGTATGCTTGCTCTTATTTTTATTTTTTAGACAGGGTCTTGCTGTTTGTCCAGGCTGGAGCATCGCCTTACCAAAGCCTTGGATTCCTGGGCTCAAGAAATCCTCCCACCTCAGACTCTAAAGTAGCTGGGACTACAGGCATGCACCACCACACCCAGCTAATTTTTTATATTTTTTTGTAGAAACAGGGTCTCTCTGTGTTGTTCAAGCTGGTCTCATTCCGACGATCCAGGGCACAAGAGATCCTCTCACCTCACCCTCCTAGGCTCTTGCCCTGTTTTCTTGTTTAAGACCTTACTATCTGGTTTGTAAATACTGTAGTGTCCCTCATCTCCTGCCCATTGCCCATACAGCAATCTGGGAGTATATTCTGTTCTTCTCTTTCTCTTCCCCTTGTCCCATTTTGAGTTGCACTGTTTCCTTATCATCTCTTATCAGCTAAAGCTCATTCTCTAGTACAGTGATGAGAAAACATTTTATTTTTTGTAAGGGGCCAGATAGTAAATATGTTCAGTTCTGCAGGCAGGCAATCTCTGCCACAGCTCTATCATTGTAGAGTATAAGCAGCCATAGACAATATGTAAACAAATGGGTATGGCTGTCTTCCAATGAAACTTCATTTGCAAAAACTGCTGGTGGGCTAGATTTGGCTTCTAGGCTAAAGCCCTATCTTACAGTAGCAGATAAGGAGGCAGAAGAAAACCGTGCAGGGGGTAAGAGAAAGCTGGCAGGAGAGCTAGGGGAATAGTGACAAAAGAGGAGCCCTTTAAATCTTCCAGGGATTTAAAGAAAAAAAGGAAATTCTTTACTGTTACTCAATAATTTACCCGCTCCGGAGAAGGAAAGATGTCTCCTCCATTTCAGGGTTGGCTCGGCATCCATCCTGCTGGATTGTGCGGATCCTGCTGGCCAGATGCCACAGTGTGGTCAGCTGAAAGTGATTTGCTCATCCTGAAAACAGCAGGTAGAGAAAGCGCTCTTTCAGCGCCATGGCAACCAGATCCTGTTTTTCTAAAAAAGGATCAGATCAGCGAGTGTGTCCCTCCAGGCTTTGATCCATTAGTGTGCACTGAGCTTATTTCAGAGCCAGACCCTGGGCTTGGAATACAAAGATGCATAAGGCCAAGTCCTTGTTTTTAAGGAGCTCACAGACTGGAGGAGGAGGCAGACGTCCACAGTAAACAGTGTAATCACACGTGAGCAACGGAAGGGACACACAAAGGGCTGGGGAGCATCTCTTCCTCTGGGAGTGAGAAACTGACCCGGAGACCTGAGGTCGAGCTGAATGTTGGAGCATCGGTCAGAGTTGGTCAAGAGGACAAACGGATGGGTCAGGGAAAATGGAGAAGCTTGAGAGCTGTGGCAGCTCCGTGGAATGGCAAGAATAGCCAGAGGATGGCATCTCCAGGGTGCTGGGGACAGCTGTGGAGAGGCACTGAGGCCACATAATTGTCAGGCTTCTGCTGTCTCTGCTCTCACTGAGGTCAACCACAATCTAGTGTCCAAGCCAGTGGCATTTTCCAGCCTACTTTTACTCATCCCTTCTTTTAAAAAATCCTCCCTTGACAGCCTGATTTTTTTTCTTCTCTTTTCTTTTCTTTTCTTTTTTTTTTTTTTTTTGAGACACAGTCTCGCTCTGTCGCCAGGCTGGAGTTCAGTGGCACGGTCTCAGCTCACTGCAACCTCTGCCTCCCATGTTCAAGCGATTCTCTTGCCTCAGCCTCCTGGATTGCTGGAATTATGGGAGCCCGACACTACCCCCAGCTAATTATTGTGTTTGTAGTAGAGATGGGGTTTCACCGTGTTGGCCAGGATGGTCTCGATCTCTTGACCTGGTGATTCACCCGCCTCAGCCTCCCAAAGTGCTGGGATTACAGGCATGAGCCACCACGCCTGGCCTAATTTGCATGGTATCATGATCCGCCATCTCCTGACGTGTCCTCTGCACATCTAGCTGCTCTTTTCTCACTCTCTTATTTGTGCCCTCACTTCCTTAAATTCTAACCTTCTTCTCATGCTGCACTTTCTCCAGGTATATGAGAAAACTCTCTGTTTTTCACTTCCATCTCTCTTGCTCTTTACCCGTTGGCCTCAATTTCTCCTACCACAAGATGAGCCCCTGTACATGTCTGGGAATGTGGCCTCAAAAACCCCAGTGTGGCAATCCCAGTGGAAAGCCTTTTCCCAGTACTCATCTTTCTGTCCTGGGGAAGGAGTGGGATTGCCATTGGTTGGTTGTGTACCTACTCTTGAACCTATCACTATTATCAGAGTGATTGGCCAATACAATTTATGGTGAGGGAAATGAGGCTCCATGATTGGCCCCATCAGTCACAGAGATGGAAAGGCAGTTCCCTAAGACGGATGTATCACCCAGGAAGCAGGAACTATACAATGTCAACAGGGAAAGTATAATATACATAATCATGAAGTGATCATAGGGGTTAGCCACAAAGGGATAAAGAGGAGTCTAAAGGATACAGAAACAGGTGAATGGATAAACAAAATGAAATGTAATCCTGCCATAAAACGGAATTAAATTCTGATACATGCTACCACATGGATAAACCTTGAAGACATTATGCGAAACGAAATAAGACAGACACAAGGGGGCAAATATTATATGGTGCCACTTATACTTCAAATAGTGGATTCAGAGACAGAGAGTAGAACGGAGGTTTCCAGGAGGTAGAGGGAGGGGAGAATGGGAAGCTATTATTTAATGGGTGATAGGGTTTGGCTCTGGGTCCCCACCCAAATCTCATCTCGGATTGTAATCCCATGTGGAGGGAAGAACCCGGGGGGAGGTGATTGGATCATGAAGGTAATTCTTGTGATAGTAAGTGAGTTCTCATGAGATCTGATGGTTTTAAAGTGTGTGGCCTCTCTCTCTCTCATTTTCTGTCTCTGCTGCCACCTGGTGAAGAGAAGACATGCCTTGCTTCCCCTCTGCCTTCCACCATTAACCTAAGTTTCCTGAGGCCTCCCCAAGCATGCAGAACTGGAAATCAATCAAACCTCTTTTCTTAAAAATTACCCAGTCTCAGGTAATATCTTTATAGCAGCATGAGAACCGACTATTACAATAGGTACAGAGTTTCACCTTGGGGTGATAGAAAAGTTTTGGAAATATATAGTGGTGATGGCTGCAAAACATTGTGAATGTATCTAATGTCAGTGAATTGTACACTTAAAAATGGTTAAGATGATAAATGTTATGTATGTTTTACCACAATAAAAAAAAAAAATACAGGCCAGCCTGGCTAACATGGTGAAACCCTGTCTCTACTAAAAATACAAAAATGAGCCGGGTGTGGGGGCACGTACCTGTGATCCCAGCTACTCAGGAGGCAAGAGAATTGCTTGAACCTGGAAGGCAAAGGTTGCAGTAAACCAAGATCATGCCACTGTACTCCAGCTTGAGAGATAGAGTGAGACTCTGTCTCAAAAAGGAAAGAAAAAAAAATACAGGAATCGTGGTTATAGGTGGCAGGCACTAGCTCTAGGGCTGAAGCAGAGAACCCAAGGAAGGAACCAACTTGGAAAAGGGTCTTCCCAGGGATAAGACTCAGATGCCATTGAAGATGGTGTGGCTATAGCCCACAGGATAGCAGAGAAGTTTGTTGTGCTGCTGCAGGCTGGGCTGGCATGCAAGAAACCCATGCGCCAGTGGGGGTGATGGGGGGGCTGACAACATTCTCTGAGAAGCTGCCCCTCTGAGGAGCTGGCACTTACTAGGACTTCACCCATGGTATGTCACTGAAACTCTCAGGGAAGCCAACTGCTGGAGTGTTTATAAGACACACTGTGCCACCATCTGGGGCTTCAGCAGCGTTTGGTGAAACCCAGCTGTGGGGTTGCGGCTAAATTTGCTGGGAGCTGGCTGAGGTGCTAGCAGAACCCCTTAGGAAACTCACCAGGGATGAGCATCCCTAGGTGCCCCATGCACCAGTCAAGGGCAAGAGGAGAGGAAGGGGAGGCTCTTCTTCCTGCTGTGTCCCTCCAGAGCCCTCCATTGACAGCACTAAGTATCATGCTAGCTGGCAAAGAAATGTTTACAGGATTCAGCCCCAGTATCACAAAAGAGGGTAATGAAGAGTGGATTTGGAATTCAGAGTCCCTAAAGTGATAACTCTCACAGCACACTCCTTTGGTTACTCAGTTTCCATATGCACCCCCTACACACATCTGAACTTCTATACGACAATAAACAAAATACAGCTATCCTTCTTACCAGTGAAGACATTTCTACCCTTTCCCCAAAATGAGAAGATACTCAGTGCCAACAACAGTTGTATCCATCTCTGGCTATATTCATTACTCAAATTTGATCATGGTACCCACTAAATATTCTGTTACCAAAAGACCAAATTGTAAAGTTAACCTCCAACAACTTGTATGTAAACTAATAAAGGGAAGAAGGAGAGAAAGAGAACTGGATCGCATTTTCCCATCACCCATCTATCAGTGGGAAAGAACTCTGGGGAGGCGCTCTTGAGAAAATATATTTGGGGAGAATCCCTGATTGGCTCTACTTGGGTCATGTGTGTTGGAATCTGTGAAAGTCTGGAATTTTGCCCATCTTACAAGCCTATTACAGTTTCATGGATGCTGGCAGATGACTGAGACTGTGTCAGAGACAAAGGCCTTTGCTTCTCATGGCAGAACAAGCTGCATGAAGTTTGTGTTTGTTAGCATTGGTTCTCCATGTCTCCAAGTCCCACAGCGGTGATGTGGAGGGGCTCAGGTGGTTACTGTCCATGCAGGGTGTTTGTGCTGCAGCTAAGGAACACTGAGCTTGGAATATACAATTTAAAAGTAAGTGGTGAGCAAGGCTGCCCTTTGCCTGGGTCGGGGGATACTGCTTTGTCAAGGCTGCGTACTTCAAACACAACCCTGAGAAATGTCGTACGCAAGGAACAGTCAGGTCCTTGCATTCTTGTCATCCCCAGCAGGAGCATGCAGCGACAATCAAAGCCCTTGGCACATTGCCTGTCACAAAAATCCACCATGAGGTCTGATAGATCCTTGGCCAAATTCAGATTTTCCCATGAGTATGCTCCCTCATCAGTTGCTCTGATTAGTCTGACCAACAGAGAGACTAAATCCATTCAATGTGATTTCTATCACATTTAAAATTAAGGCTGCTGTCACACACACGGGATTTCAAGAAGCTCAGTGAGGCCAGTCTGCCGTGTCGATTTCACCCCATGTCCCCAGGGTCCCGGACTCAGCCAACTGTCTATGAATTCTGGGGGCAAAGGAGATCAGTCATTCTTATTTCAGATAGCTAGGATAAAACCTAATGTCAGTCTAGCATTCATTATGACCCACTCATGTGAGTTTAGATTCACTGATATCATTGCCAGTGACTACAGGAGGCGATGCAGGGAGCAAAGACCCTCATCCCTGATGGAAGGACGAAGAAATGATTCAAAGGGGAGCAAGTTGCTATAGTTTGAGATTTGCTGGTGTTTTTTGTTTGTTTGTTTGTTTTTTGTTTTTTTGAGATGGAGTTTCACTCTTGTTGCCCAGGTTGGAGTGCAATGGCATGATCTCAGCTCACCGCAACCTCTGCCTCCTGGGTTCAAGTGATTCTCCTGCCTCAGCCTCCTAAGTAGCTGGGACTGCAGACATGTGCCACCACGCCTGGCTAATTTTGTAATTTTAGTAGAGATGGTGTTTTTCCATGTTGGTGAGGCTGGTCTCGAACTCCTGACCTCAGGTGATCTGCCCGCCTCAGCCTCCCCAAGTGCTGGGATTACAGGCATGAGCCACCGTGCCTGGCCCTGTTGTTAAATTTGATTTGAATAATGATCACCACATTGGTTTGGTTAGGTAAGATGGTTAATTTTATGTGTCAACTTGGCTGGGTCATGGGACATTACTCTGGATGTTTCTGTGAGGGTTTTGGATGAGATTAACATTTAAATCTCATTGGACTTTGAGTAAAGCAGATGACTCTCCCTAATGTGGATGGCCCTCAGCCAATCCCTAAATAGAACAAAAGACTGATCTCTTCCAAGCAAGAAGGAATTCTGAATTCTGCCAGCACATGGCCTTTGCACTTGAACTGAGACATTAGCTGTCCTGAGTCTCCAGCCTGCCACTCTTCAGATTTTGGACTTGCCAGCCTCCTTAATCATGGCAGCCCATTCCTTAAAATAAATCTCTCTCTTCCACATATATATATATATATATATATTCTTATATATTCTTACTATTTTGTGTGTGCATATAAAATACATATTATATATAATATATGTTATACTTATGATATATAATTTATATTATATAAATTTTATTTGCACACATAAAATAATAAGATAGATAGATACCTTATTAATTCTGTTTTTTTGGAGAACCTGACTAGCCCTAGTTGCCTTTGTTTTTTCTTTTTCCACTTTTCTTCTGAACTTATGTTCTACCTCCTGATACATTTCCATCCTTTCCCTGAGCTCACTTCATCCTCTTCCTTCTTAGAGGCAATCATTTCATTAAGTTTTTAAGTGCCTGGCAATTGCCTGCTTTTGACTGGTGTCTGCTCCATGGCATCATCTGCCTGGTGAGTATTCCAGATCTGCCACTGGTTTTTCTTATCCCTTTCCTACATTTGCGGCGATCCTGTATGGCTTCCTTTTTGATGACTCATCTTTGAACAAGTTGAGTTTTTCCTGGACCAGCTCTTTGCTGGTGTTATGTGGGAGGAGTCGGGGCTGTGTTCCAAGTCAGCTGGAATTTTTCTTATAACCCAGGATTTTAGATGTGAGCTTGATCAGGCTTTACTTCTCAGCTTAAGCAGGTCTGGGCATATTTGGCAACCTGGCCTGCATGATGGTGATTTGCATAATTTGGTGTTCATCTATTCATTCAGTTTTTGCCTGAATGATGAAGGAAGACGTTTACATCTTTCTTCCTGGGGACAGTCAGAGACAGTGTGTGCACTTCCATCCTACAAGGGCCAGGTTCGAATAGTCCGGAGAAAGGAGCTGTGGCAGCAGCAGACAGATCTCTGCTTTAGGGGCCAGGTGGTGTCCAGCTGAGATGCCACAGTGCAGCAGAGAGAACAGAGGCTTCTTTGCGTGTCTTTCCAGGGAATTGGCCCCATGTTAACTGAAATCGTAGGTTACAGGAACAGGAACCTGACTGACAAGTGCAAACCTGGAGCTTTCCTTTCTCCTTATACTTCCTGCATGTTCCCCACATAACCAGCAACCACAGAGCCATCCCCTGGCACCCAGCTACTCCCTCCTGAGCTAGAACCTTTTAAGACCCAGCTAGGAGTCTGAACAGTTGGACATCTAAGGCAAAGAATAATCTAGTTTGTAACATGGGATCAAAGGAAGAAATGAATATCCAGATTCTATGTAAATGAGGCCACTTTGGAGATTTCCATGTCTCTCAGGGGCTCTACCTCAGGGTGGCTCAGCTGTAATTATCTTTAGATTCCCATACAGATCCAACTTCTCTGGAAAGAGAGTCTCATGTTTGTTCATGGTATGAGAAAAGAACTAAAATGTATCAGCTGCTATGGGCTAATGTCATTTATTTTGACTTTGCTTTTGTAGAAGAAACACTGATGCAGTGTCGTGCTTGTGTCTGTTCTTCTTAGGGAATGCCTGAACAGTTCTATTGACTCAAAGTAAAGATCAGAAGAACCAAATGCCAGCAACAGCCAAGTGTAATCATCAGTAACTCTGTGTTCTATCCACAGGTAAAGAACAATCATCCTCTTTTTTATGGGTTTCAATTTAAAACATAATATATTTTTAGAAATGTCTATTTCCTTTTATAATCTCTTTATGTAATCTAGATTATTCTGGCTCTTGGGTCTTCATTTAGCTACTGAAAAGATTTGATCTCGAGTCAATGATAACCACCCCTGACCACCTTCCACCTCCATCCTCCTATACCGCCCAGCATGAATTCTGGGAACTCAGTTAAAATGCTTTCTGGAAACCTTCCTGTATTAGTCTGTTGTCATGCTGCTCATAAACACATACCTGAGACTGGGTAATTTATAAAGGAAAGAGGTTTTATGGACTCACAGTTCCACACAGCTTAGGCCTCACAATAATGGTGGAAGGTGAATGAGAAGCAAAGTCACATTTTAGAGCAGCAGGGAAGAGAGAGCACGTGTAGGGGAACACCAGCACTTTGGGAGGCCCAGGCAGAGATAAGTTGCACAATGTGAATGTACCTAACACTACTGAACTATATTCTTAAAAATGGTTCAAATAGTAAGTTTTATATAATTTTACTATGATTAAAAAGAAAAAATGAGGAAATGTCAAACTCCAGTGATAATATGTACAGTGAAGTTCTTAAGGAGGATGTGTAATGATGTCTATTTAATTTGAAATGCTTCAGAGAAGTAAAGTGGATGGGCCGAGCATGGTAGCTCATGCCTGTAATCCCAGCACTTTGGAAGGCCGAGGTGGGTGGATCACCTGAGGTCAGGAGTTCGAGACCAGCCTGGCCAGCAAAGTGAAACCCCTTCTCTACTAAAAATACAAAAATTAGCCGGGCATGGTGTCAGGCACCAGTTATCCCAGCTATTGGGGAGGCTGAGGCAGGAGAATCACTTCAACCTGTGAGGCGGAGGTTGCAGTGAGCTGAGATTGGGCCACTGCACTCCAACCTGGGAAATCAATAGAGGGAGACTCCATCTCAAAAAAAAAAAAAAAAAAAAAGCAGCAGCAAAATGGATGAATGCAAGAATGGAGAGATGGGTAAATTTGTGCTTACACAAGAACAAAAATGGTGGGATACATGTCACTGTAAAATTCTTTCATCTTTACTGTATTTTAAATTTTTCACAATAAAATATTGGGGAAAAGTTAAGAGAAGATTATTGGGAATAAGCTGACAATTTATATAAAGAACTCCTTGATTTTTCTGACTTATAAATTCACTGGTTTCTTTAATAATATATGAAATATGCAAATTAAAACCTCATGATATACCACCACAAGTATTCATGAGAATTTCACATATTGCTGGTGGGTGTGTAAATTGGTGCAATCATTTTGGAAACTTGGCAGTATCTTCTAAAGGTAAAACATACCTATCCTATGATCCAGCAATTCCACTCCTAGTTATATTCCCAAGAGAAATTACTGCTTGTATTCACCTAAAGACATGTTTGAGAATATTCGTAGCAGCTGTATATATAATGGCCCCAAACTGGTGAGAACACAAATGCCTATTCACAGCAGAATGGAGCCAGATGCGGTGGCTCACACCTATCATCTCAGCACTTTGGAAGGTGGCTCACCTGAGGTCAGGAGTTCAAGACCAGCCTGGCCAACATGGCAAAACCCCATCTGCACTAAAAATACAGAAATTAGCCAGGCATCTATAGTCCCAGCTACTCGGGAGCCTGAGGCAGGAGAATCTCTTGAATCTGAGAGGCAGAGGTTGCAGTGAGCCAAAATTACGCCACTGCACTCTAGCCTGGGAGACAGAGTGAGACTCCATCTCAAACAAACAAAAACCGAAAGAATGGATAATTTGTGACATATGTAAAGGAAATTCCACATGGCAATGAAAAACACAAACTAGTGCTGCATGTAATAACATAGATAAACATCACAGATACTATGTTTAATGGAAGAAGCCAGAAATAAGAGTATGTAATAGGTGATTCCATTCTTCAAAAATCACCTATTATGTTCAAAAATATGTACAACCTAATCTATGGTGACAGAATTAAAAATAGTGGTTGCCCTTAGCAGGGAGTGGGGAGTAGGGAGAATTGACTGGGAGTGTTATCATGGGTAGCTACTCAGGTATGAGCAGGGCAGAAGAGGGCTCCCTCTATACACACACCAGGAAAGTCAGGCAACCATCGGGTGATGGTCAGGCAGCTGTGAACGGTCTAAAGTAATAACTGGTCTCAGCTGGTGCCAGGGAAAGACAATGTCCTAATAGATAGGAACCACCTGATACTGGTCATCAGCCGCTTCCTGTTAAGATCTCGGGAGTTGGGAGAAGAAACGCAAGACCCCAGGAGTACGCCAACATATAAAAACCCCAAGTCAAAAGGTCAGACCATGCACTTGTCTTTCAAGGCACCCACTTGGCCCTCTTCCAAGTGTACTTTCCTTTCTGCTCCAAAACGTTTTAGTAAACCTTCATTCCTGCTTTAAAACTTGCCTTTGTCTGTCCTTTTGCCTTATGCCCCTCAGTTGAATTCTTTCTTCGGAGGAGGCAAGAAATGAAGTTGTTGCAGACCTATGTGGATAATTTCCACCACTAGCAGAGGGGCCAAGGGAGTCTCCTGAAGTACTGGAAGTTTCTATATCTTTTTCAGAGTGGTGGTTGCACAGGTGCACACATATATAAAAATGTATTTGCCAGCATACTTGAAGTTTTACACACTTTGTATAATTTATTAACCAAAAAAGCAAAACTAACCTAATGCATAAAATCCATCAAGCTAATGAGTGACATCGTTCTTCATCCTGGAAACCTCAAGTTTAGTTTGCTGTTTCGTTTTAGCTGATGCTGCCCTGCCTGAAGTTCTCTGTCCAGGGAAGCCACAAGGCACTGTTCTGGGTGAGGGTGGGAGTGGTATCCACTGTCCCAGACCCACCAAGATCTGAGGTGGAGGCTGGCCAGACACTGGTGCTCTGCTGGCATTTGGGCTGCAGATTTGGGACAGGTAAGGGGCATGGAGAGAACAGAGCCAAAACCATCACTAGGTACTAGGAGGATGTGACCATCTCAGTCTGAGAGAGGCGTAGGAAAGGAGGGTGGAGGCAAGAGCATTCTCTAGACTTAGGCTTATGAACAGCTTTCAAATCCAGTTCTTGTCCCGATGTTGCCTTATACCACATGCTTGTGGCAACTGGACCACCTCTGACTTTTTTTGCAACCAGGTGCCTAACAGCACAGCTAGATGAGTGGGGATATGGCAGAACGCAGGTGACACTGACATAAGGTAACTGACCATAGCTGCTTTTGTTTTTTGCCTTTCGAGGAAGATACTGAGAACACCTCCATTTATTAAATTAGCTATAGTAAAGTATGGTTTACATATTGAGGAGAGTTTAATGAAAGGATTTGTACAGATGTAACAGGTTTAGGAAATGACCCCACTCAGTTGTCCCCCTTTCTATGAGACCATGCCTCTGCCTTCTCCTGACTCCATCCCACTCCAGATGGCCTTTCTTGGTCCTTTTGTGGGTGGAGATGTGGGTGCTTTTCAGTTCCAGCTAGAATCAACTCAACTGAGGAAGCTTCCAAATACATCAATGCCTGGGCCCCACCCCCAGCATTTCTAACTTAGTGGGGCTCAGGTGGAGCCTGGGCAGTGGTGCTGTGTAAAAGCTCTCAGGTGACTCCAACATGCCCAGACCAATCCATTGAGACTCTCGGGGGTGGAAGGCCTGCGCATTGGTACTTTTTCAAATTTCCCCAGCACGGCCGGAGCCAAGAAGCTCCGTTATATTTCTTTCCAAATCTATTGTCTTAGCAAAAAATCATGGCTCTGTTCTCCTCAGACCTTCCTTTTAGTTTTCAAGGTGTAGTTCAGAAGTAAAATAATATAATTACATTTAAAAACTGAACATTGATTATTTTTACACTAACAACACTACCTGAGGTACTGTCAGAATCTCCAGCCAGAGGAGGGTCAGGAACAAAGGAATAAAAGTGACACCTCTATTTGACAGCAGCATTGTTCACAACAGCCAAGAGCTGCAAGCAACCCAGTGGCCACTGTGGATGAATGGATAAGCAAAACGCAGCATGTACATACAGCAGCCTGTTATTCAGCCTTAAAAAAGAAGACAACTCTGGGCCAAGCATGATGGCTCACACCTGTAATCTCAGCACTTTGGGAGGCCAAGGCGGGTGGATCACCTGAAGTCAGGAGCTCGAGACCAGCCTGGCCAACTTGGCAAAACCCCATCTCTAATAAAAATACAAAAATTAGCCAGGTGTGGTAATGCGCACCTGTAGTCTGTTTGAGGAGGCTGAGGCAGGAGAATGGCTTGAACCCAGGAGGTGGAGGTTGCAGTGAAGAGAGATCACACCATTGCACCCCAGCCTAGATGACAGAGTGAGACTCTGTCTCAAAAAAAAAAAAAAAAGAAAAGAAAATTGTGACATGTGCTATATGCTATACCATAGAGGAAGTTGACATGACACTAAGTGAAGTAAGCCGGTCACATAAAGACAAATACTATGTGATTTCTCTTATACAAGATGCCTACAGTAATCAAATTCATAGAGACAGGAAGCAGAACAATGGTTGCCAGGGGTTGTGGGGAGAGAGACATGGAGAGTTGTTGTTGAATGGATAAGAGTTTCAGATTTGAAACTCTTTTCAACCAAAGATGAAAGAGTCGTGGAGAGGGAGGGCAGTCACGACACTGCACAGTAACGTGAATGTACTTAACACTACTGACTTGTACACTTAAGAATAGTTACAATGGTAACTTTTATTTGTATTTTATCACAAATAAAATTTTAGCCTAGTGTGATGGCTCACATCTGTATTCACAGCACTTTGGGAGGCCAAAGCAGGAGGATCACTTGAGCCCAGGAGTGTAAGACTGGCCTGGGTAACATAGTGAGATCCCATATCTACCAAAAAAAAAAAAAAAAAAATTAGCCAGGTGTGGTGGTGTGCACTTGTAGTCCCAGCTACTCAGGAGGGAGGCTGAGGCAGGAGGATCACTTGAGCCCAGGAAGTTAAGACTGAAGCAAGCCATGATTGCATCACTGCACTCCAGCCTGGAAGAGGCTGGCATGGTGGCTCATGCCTATAATCCCAGCCCTTTGGTAGGCAGAATTGGGCAGATCATCTGAGGTCAAGAGTTGGGGACTAGCCTGGCCAATATGGTGAAACCCCATCTCTGCTAAAAATACAAAAATTAGCTGGGCATGGTGGCAGACGCCTGTAATCCCAGCTACTCAGGAGGCTGAGGCAGGAGAATCGCTTGAGCCCAGGAGAGGGAGAGAAGAGAGGAGAGTGTGCTTCCCTCACACGGCCCATGGAATGAAAGAGGCCAAATCT